TTTAGGAAATTGTGGGCTTCACTACCACAGAGCATAAGAAAAATACCTTAAATTCCTGGGTCCTTACTTCTACAATTTAAGACACTAATATTTAAGACTAAAATCTATATAAGCTATAGTAATTCTCTTCAAAGTAACAATTTGTTATCATTATTTGATCTTGTGAGTGCAGACATACACATGCCACAACACACTTGTTGAGATCAGAGGACAACTTTATGGAGCTAATTCTCTTCTTCTACCATGGTTTCTGGGATCACATGCAAGTATCCCGCCTCTGAGCCATCTTACTAGCCTCTGGGGTCATTCCTGTCCTTACATACTTCCCCACACTAAGTCCCCAGCCCAAACCAGCAAAGTTGGCAATGAGCTCTCAAGGCTAAACATAAGTTGAAGTCTTCAAATGTCATGCCATTACTGGGAAAATCAATCTTAGTGTCTTGGGATACAAATCTACCCCAACCTGCTATCCATCCATCAGGCAGAAGAGTGCATCGTTGATGGCTTTTTCTCCCTTTTCTGTATTGTTCCAATATGGTGAATAATAGCACAATTTCTTTAAGGTGACATCATTCATTGATATCCTGTTTATTCAATTTCATCAAAATTCTATCATATCCTTAACTGCTGAGACAACACCACAGATAAAGTTTCATAGTTTTCAAGAGGACATCCCACTCAGGCTTGTCAGTCCTCTAGTTGTGCTTCTTGAAGCCTGGGCAAGCAGAACTTCTGGGATGGGAAGTCAGCCCCCTCCCTACAGGAGGGATAGAAGCTCTCCACAGGTGCTGAAGCGCCCCCTGCTGATTTTACTAAGGTACTTCTCTCCCTAAGTCAAGGACTCCATATTGCAAAACCAGCCTCCACCTTCCTTTACAGAAGACTCTACCCAAATGCCTCTCTTTTTTTATCTTGTCCATTCCTTTCAGAAACTGCTCCCACACTGGGACTAAGGATTTCACTTTGAAAGGACCAAGAAGTTGTGCTGCTGGCATATGGAGAGAGTGAGCCAGTTGGAACATGAATCCCATGGAGTCATACCTGGCCAGAGATAGAAAAGACATGGGAATGGGGTCCCTTGTACTTGGAAGCTGTCCTCCACCTCTTTATGCCTGTGACCAAAAGGCTCTCTTTTCTTTCTGCCAATGTAAGATCTTCTTTTGCATGCAGGTGAAGTTTAACCTTGATTTTACCTGCATGAAAGAATGTGTTACTTTGGTTTCTTTTTCTTTTTTGTCTGAGTAATGAACAAGATATTCCAGATGTTTAGGGTTCTCTTCATATTGCTAAAGGGTTTCCATAGTGAGGCTCTATACTTGCTGCACAGGCGACTCTATCCTGGCTGTTTGTAGAATCCATGAGTTATCTAGCTCCTTTGCTCAACGTCAACCCATGCGGGATCCACTTGTTTTCTGCATACCACGAGACAGCAGTCAGGATTTTTTTTATTACATATGATTTTTCTCCAGAAGAGAGGAAGACCAAGCAATATTCTAAAACAAACACAAGATTCTTGCAAGCCTAACAAAAGTCTACTCCAAGCTGTGCATGCCCCTGGGAGTAAGCACCTTCCCAGGGGAACGAGTACAAGAACAAAGCCACAAAGCCCACATCATGCATGCTTCAGCAGCTGCACTTTATGTATGGGAGCTGAAAATTGCTTTACAAATTCCTACAATTTACTCAATAACAGTGTGACACACTGGAAGAGGAAGCCAGATGGCCATTGGCATTGAGGCACAGATACCCAAACAGACTTGGTGTTTCCTGGCATGGTAAATTGAAGCCACATCCAAAAAATTTTGAAAAGACTATCGCAAGAGAGTTGTGCTCTATGCAGAATCTCAGCCAAGAGTGTCCCTAGCCAGGAATGAAGTGTAAGCCTCTGGAGCAGGAGTCAGCCTTGATTCACATACAGGATCTAAATATTCCATACAACATCCTTGGTTCAGCCAAGGACCAAGTCAGGATACCCACTGCTTAGATCCTAAGCAGGCACTGCCACCAGGGCCATCCTGAATTACACCTTTGTAAGTGTTGTTAGCCAAAGCCATGTTTGGCTTCTGGACATTCATGGTGATTCCAGTGCTATCTCTGTGACCGCCATTCCCTGCTGGCCCCTCAAACATGTCACCATCTCTCTGCTGAGGGAAAGAATCTGTGCACTTTGGTAGGGAGTCATACAGCGGGGACATAGCAACCTCCTCCAAATGTGTCTGATGGGCCTGAGGCATATTTGATAAAGATAATTCCTTTTAAAAACAAGTTTGGAGAAAAGCAGGAAGTGCCAGATAGTATCTGTGAACTGTAGACTGTTGTGGGCCCCTCCCCACTTTTCAAACTTATTTGACATTTTAAGAATTGGGGCCTCCAGATGACCACTGGCCACCTGTGCAATGGAGCCTCGAGAAGCCCAGATTAGGATGAAAACCTCCTGATTCTTGGTGGGGTATGATGTATTATACTGCTTTTTAAAAAAGGTACTTCTCCATGCAGTCATAGCTGATTGTTGGTACAGCTGACACTTCAGTATTGTTCAGTATCTGAGGTGAAGCAGCAAATCTGGAAAGATGCCCTGACCAATGACCTGTGCCTACCCAACCTGTGCCAGCCCAGGGTGGAGCCAAGTTGATGGTTAATGCCTCTGACACAGAGATACCATCATGAAATTCAGACTCTGGTTCCTCCATTTACTGACTGTGCCGTCACGCAGTGGGACATTGTCAACTACTCCCGATGTTTCAGACATGTGTTGCTTGCTCTGGTGTCCATAGTCCTACCATGACGATCATTAAATTGTGGCCGGCTCACCACTTGGCTAGTAAATTTTCTGAACGTTTACTCGGTGAATCTGGTGTGGTTCTGATCACATATAGTGCACGGCTGAGGTGGACAGCCAGGAGACTGTGTGATCTTGGAGGTAATTCCCCTGTCAGTGAAACTGTCACTGCACATCCTTAGCAGCCCCATGTGACTAACCATATTATCTGAGAACAGGGGACAGTCGTTGGAGCAACACCAGTGTGAGATGGATATCATTTCTTTATCAAGGTAACTTTGTCAAATTCATAACATTTCCTCAGCCTCAAAATTACAATGTAAAGGAAGATGAAAGTCAGAGGCTACCATTTCCAGTTTTCAAATGAGGAAATAGAGTTTCAAAGCAATCTTCCAAAGTGACAAGGCCAATTAGTTACAGAAATGTCACTTAAAGTCAGGGATCCAAGGAACGTCACAGGGCTTCCATGCTCCCTCTACTAGAGTTTTAGGAACTTGGTACTATAGTGTCACCATGTTGCCAACTGTCTGACAATGAGTTACTCTGAGCAATCCTGCATTACCAGGATTTCTGAGATTCTCTCAAGTGAAGAATTTCATCTTTACCTGGAGGTTAGGTACTCTCCAGCTGTCTTTGTCCTGGGCATACCCCGAGGACTGGGTAGTACTATTGAAGGGACACTCAGAAGCCAGATGCCATCATTTGGGAGAAACAGGGAACATGACCAATAACCCCATAGTAAAGATGCCAAAGAATGGAGAAGGTGATTTTAATGACACTTTCCCATGTGGATCAAGCCTTGAACAAACAAGTCTGTGTTTCGGCAGGGGTAGGGATGGAGGCATTTCAGAAAAGGGCAAGAACCAAGGACCAAAAGCAAAAAGCAGGTGGCAGCTATGGGTTTGTGCATAGATAGCATCAGGGAGGAAACAGGCTGGGTAGGTTCTGGGAGGTCCCTAAGCTCACAGTACAGAACCACAAACAGTACTCTAAGGACAGCCTTTCAGGAAGTACAGGGAACTGTGTAGGGGGGCTGTATAGGAGAGAGACAGAATCATGTCTGTGGGGCAAGGACTCCCGCCCAGTATGAGACAGAAGGGAAGACCTAGGGACAGGAATTCCCTTCAGGAGAAGACAAGAGTCCATGAGAAAAGATGAGGGTATGAGTTAGACTAGAAGGGACGGCAATGTCAGCTTTGAGAGAGGCCAGATATACGCCAGGCTAGGATTGGTGTTCTTTGGCACAACCCAGATGAAAGACCCCTCCAAAAGTACTAGGACTACATCTAAAAGGGGTGTGCTCTCTAGGAATGGTAATGCAACCAGTGGAAGAGAGAAATGAGAGAGAGACAGAGACAGAGACACACATAGAGACAGACACACACAGAGACAGAGAGACAGACACATATACATAGAAACACAGAGACATACAGAGAGGGAGAAAGAGAGAGAGAGAGGAAAGGAGGGAGGGAGAGAGTCAGAGAGAGAGAAGGAGGAGGGATTGGAACAGGAAAAGAAAGGGAGACCAACTCATGGTACAGTCTGGAGCTGGTCCTAATGAAGAGTGTAAGAATAAACTGCTCGGTGAACCAATAGAATCTAATCGAAGACCCCAATATCAACCCACACACCTATGAATAACTAAATTTTGATAAAGAAGCTAAAAATATAAAATGAAAAAAAGAAAATATATTCAACAAATGGTGCTGGTATAACTGGCTGTCAACTTGTAAAAAATGCAAATAGATCCATATCTATGCCCAAAACTCAAGTCCAAATGAATCAAAGATCTCAATATAAATCCATCCACAATAAACCTCATAGAAGAGAAAGTAGGAAATAAATTTGAACACATAGGCACAGGAGACCAACTCTTAAATAGAAAACCAGTAGCACAGACTCTTGAGAGCAACAATTAATAAGTGGTACCACCTGAAACTGAGAAGCTTTTGTAAAGCAAAGAACACGGTCAACAAGACAAAATAGCTCCCTACAGAATGGGGAAAGATCTTCATCAACCCCACATCTGACAGAAGACTGATTTCCAAAATATACAAAGAACTCAGAAACTAGAAATCAAACTACCAAATAATCCACGCCTTTAATCCCAGCACTTGGGAGGCAGAGGCAGGCAGATCTCTGTGAGTTTGAGGCCAGCCTAGTCTACAGAGAGAGTTCCAGGACAGCCTCCAAAGCAATACAGAGAAACCTTGTCTCAAAAAAAATAAAGAAGCCCATAAAGTGCTGCTTCCCTTAAGCAGAAAGGTGAAGTTTATCATAAATTGTATAGGAATACTTGTATGGTATACACTGGAGAAAACACAGATACACAGATTTCAGTATTAGTTACTTTTTATCATTGTGACAAGGAGCATAAGGGAAGGAATTTTACTTTGATTCAAGATTTTAGGAGATTACAGTTAATCATGGCAGGCACCAGCTGGGAGTTGTTCACGATGGCGGGGATATGTCGAGCTGTGGCAGCTCCTCGTGTCTTGAAATATCAGGAAACAGAGATCTCAGCCAGAAAGTCCTACCCCAAACAACTCAGGTCGGCTAGCTGAATTCAGTACTAAGTTTCTACAACCTCTAAAATCAGTGGGGGCATTTCAGATGTAACTCAAAACAGGGACTTTGTGGCTTCTGGTAGCTACTGAGTGGGGGATGTTTAAGATCATGACCCCTGGGAATGGGAACCCTGTCATCTCTTCTGCCGAGCTCATGTTTTTCCTCGTTAGTGTTCCATCGCTGTGAAGGGACATCATGGCCATGGAAAATCTTAGAAATACGGTATCTAATTAGAGGCTTTCATACAGTTTTGTAGGCTTGCTTAGTCCGTTATCATCACGGCAGGGAGCATGGCAGCAGTCATGGTACTGGAGAAGGAGCCGAGAGCTTTGCATCCTGATCGATGGGAAGAAGGCACTGTGACTGGCATGGGCTTTTGAAACCTCAAAGCTCAACCCCAGTGACATACTTCCTCCAAAAAGGCCATACCTACTCCAACAAGGCCACACCATTTAGCCCTTCTAGTCCTTTCAAACAGTTCAGTCCTTGAAGACTGAGTGCTCAAATACATGGGCATAGGGATCTTACTCAAACTACCACAGTGTTGGCTTTTCAGGATTTGAAGGTGCATGTACTTTGTTTTAAAATGTCTGCTGTCACCTTCAAGGCTGACTCTGTAATCTCTCCAGGCTAGGTGGTGAAATCTTGTAGACTTTCTCTGGTTCACATCCTTTTCTAAAAGAGAGTTTTTAAAAAATTTTTAATCATGTGTATGTTTGTATGCTTATGCTGGGGTACGTACATGTGACTACAGGTACCTATGGAGGCCCAGTCAGGGCATCAGAGTTGACTTATAGCCATTGCAAGCTGCAGGGCATGGGTCCTGTAAATAGAACTTGGATCTTCTACAAGACCAGTGTGTGCCTTTAAGCACCAAGCCATCTCTCCAGCACCTCTGGTTCACATTCTTAATCATTCTCCTTCAGTAAATAGCAGGATTACAAGTTAATGCATGCTACTGACCTTGGCGGGATGTTACAAACAAACAAACTGATACCTACAAATGATCCTGACCCTGTCACTTCTGCTGTTTGCGCACATTTTAAGACTAACAAAGCTGTTTTAACCAATTCAGCATTTGTAATTTGCAATGGTCCCTAAGTAACTCAGACACACACCGGGAGCGAGAAAGCTGGAGATGAAGAGTGCCCGTGGTTTCACTTTTCCCCCCCTCTGTGCTGGTAAATATTTTATTTGGAAAGTTCCAAGTTCTGACAAAGATAAATAACTCCTGCACATTTTATTCAACCAAGGTCAATATCCTGAAGGGCAGTATAGAGTTTCTATCGTTTTTAATTTAATGTTGAAGGGTAAAATATTGATAGTGATGCACTGGAAAGATACATGCAGGCCATTTTGGTGTACAAATAATTTACAAATGCAAGAAACCGGCACCGGCTCACGCCAGGATATCCTTTGCCACTTGGCATATCATTAGCCTCTGCAAGGCTGCCCAGTGCAGCCTCCTGTCTTTCCTTCCAGTGTTAGTGAGGACAGCAGGAGAATAACCTCTATCCCCCTCTTTGGGGGGGGCATACCAGCAAATGTGCTTCTGTTTCCCTTTTGCAAGACACAGTGCTCAGATCGACTTTTCATTCAATCATTAACATGAATGACATTTCTTTGAACTCAAATCTTCAGCCTTCACTCATCCCCAGGGCCAGTGAATAATGAGAGCACACTGGCATTCCAAAACATGGATGGAAATTGGGTCCAGCTGTCTCTGCTTGTAAAATCTGTTATTTAATAAACTATAATTAGAAGCAAAGTGGTTAATAAAATAGATGGGGAGTGGAAGGTATAATCTAGGCAGTTTCCTTGGATACAGAGAAAGTGAGTCTACAGCTCATGCGTGCAGGTGCAGCTAGGCCAGCCATGTTTCAGGGTGTCCAACACGCATGTGTGGCTTGACTATGAGGACATGGTGCTCTTTGTATGCAGGGATAAACCTTTTGATAAAGTTCCCAGAAGCTTAATTAACTTTCTATATGGTGTCTCTTTCCAGGTAGATAGAGCCTCATCATCTCCGTGATGTTTCAGCCTATCTATGCTCACAGCAGGGGTGGGGGTTCTCTGCCTTTCCCAGAGAGTGGTATCTGTACTGCAGAAGGTTCCCTGGACATAAGATTTAACTAGGGGACTTCCCAGGGCTTTCTGATAACCTAACTGGGTAGCTTTTCCTTGTCACTAATAAAATCTTTAAATTTTGATTAAAAATTAAATTTTAAACAGGCACTATGATTTATTATTACCTCCAAAAAGTTCATAGCTCTTAAAAAATCATTTTCAAAGGTTGGGACAAGCTGGCCTTGAAGCACACTGTGTGTGTGTGTCATACTGAGTTTAATTGATGGTGACGGTTAAGAGCACATTCCACGCCTGCCCACAGGGTTAGGCTTCTGCCCTGGAAAACGATGCCCACATTCAGAATTGGGCATGTGTGTGTTTTCATGCACACTGGCCCTTGGCTCTAGGCCTGATTTTCAGCAGGATGTCAGTCAACTAGCTCTGCGTGGCATGGTGCCTTATGTCTCCGGAACCAAAGAAGTCTTGTAGTGTCCAATGGGTCATCAGTCAGTTTGCTTCTCAGTCACCCTGACCCATCAGGAATGGTGGCACGAATGCCACTTGGACATGCCTTGCTGAGTATGGAAGACAGGCAGAAGAAAACATTGTGTTGTCAGCTGAGATTCTGTGCTCACCCTCAGTGTTCATGTCATGTTTTGGAGATGGTGGTGTCACATGGGTGGGGCCCACATGGTGGGATTTTTGTTCTTGTTTAAAAGCTCCGTCCACTAAGTGAGGACACAGGGAAGGACTATGAACCAACCTCTCCTCAAACCCCAGCTCCATGCTGGTGTTCATCTGGTGTCCTCTGGTGCCTTACTCTAGAAAAGCATCTCAGGACCCTCTCCCCAGTGTCTAATTATGCTGATGTTTTCCTGCCTTGCACTCCTCTTCCTTCCTCTAGCCTATGGGCAAAAGACGCATAGATTGTTTTAGAGAATAGGCTCCACAACTGCTTGGTTGATTGCAGGGGCAGCTTGTTTAATTAGCATAGGATCTGAGCTGCCAGAGTACCTCAGAAACCTCAGCCCAGTAACATGATAGATGAGGTAAACATCCTTAAGTCACCACTTCCAATGGAAGTAGAGTTGCACACTTGCTTAGAGTAACAACTTACTACGTGTTTCTGTTAACACGGTAATTCTAATTCCATGGACAGATAGGGCACGCTCAAAACAAAGCAAAGCTATTGTGTGATGGCTAAGTTGTGTGAGCAAGCTTATGTGGAAGCATAGTCTCAGATGACTCTGAGGTACATTTTGGATTGGGCACTGAATCTCAGAGTCTCTATCTTGAGACCTCTACAGAGGTCTCTACATTTCCTGCTGCAGATGGCATTCAGGTTTCCCTGATTCCTGCTCATGAACAATGCTACAATCTGTCTGATGGTTGAGTTGGGTTAGGCTGGGTTGGGTTGAGTTGGGTTGAGTTGAGTTGGGTTGTCCACCCCTCTTTGCTCCTTCTGGCTTCCTGAAATAGTTTTCAGCAGCATCAGCAATGCATGCATTGGGCATTGTGGGGAGACTCAACAGCAGACATCTGTTTGCTGCCTGCTGCTCTTAACTCAGAGTTGCCTACACCCAGCCATTTTCTCTGCATCTGATAGGTTTCACCAACTTCCTGATGATACAGGGATCACTCTTGGAGGGTGAAAATTATGTGCTATTGTTTCTCCCAAAGACAAAAATTATTCTTCATTAGAGTGTTCTTTGTTACAGGGATACAGATGGGAATACCAGAAGTAAGATGAGTATATTTCATTTCAATCACGGGAAGTATTTTCCCCAGAGAAACCTGTAAAACTGAGTATATTTGGTAATACCTCCCTTTCTTTTCTCCTCCTCCTTTTCCTTCTTCTTCCCTCTTCTCCTCTCCAACTCTCTCTCTTTCTTGAGTCAGGGTCTCATGTATTCCAGGGTGGCCTTGAATTTGCTACATGGCCAAGGGTGACTTTCACCCGTGATCCTCCTATCTCTGCCTCCAAATTGCTGGGATGACAGGCATGTGCCACTGCACCCAACGTTCGGCAGTGCTTTCTGTACTGTTTCTCTTTCTTTCAGTGTTAGCATATTCACTTTAAAACACAGTTATTAAGCACATGTGCCATGGACCTTATGCTGTACAGATAACCCATCTAAACCTGTCCTGAGAATCTCAGCATCAGACACAGAGGAAACCATAGGAAATTCATAAGTGTCCAATATACCCAGGAACAACGCTTGGGTGAGGGAGTCGTATTACAGCAGGCGCTAGCTGTGGAGGTGGGAACTGCTATTCCACCACTATCCCATACTGTGTCTCTTTACAGTCTCACTGTAGGACATATAGTTTGCTTAACAGAGCTCCAGAAAAGTAAATCTTTCACCTATGAAGGTTTAACAAGTGGGGAGATGGCTCGGTTGGTGAAGCATATGTCACACAAGCATGAAGACCTGAATTAAGACACTTAGTAACTGCTCAGAGTCAGCATAAGCCAGCTAGCCCTGGGCAGGCAGAGACAGAGAATTCTCAGAGCTCACTGCCTGCCAGCCTAGGCGGATTAGTGAGTTCCAGTCCAGAGAAAGTCCTTGTCTCACAAAAATCAGTTAGAGAGAAACTGAGAAAGATAGCAAGCATCAACCTCTGGCCTCTACACAAGTATACGCACATGTATGTACATCCACATGCACATATATACATCCCTATATGAACACAGACATACATGAACTACACACATGAGAGAGGGGGAGGGAGAAAGAGAGGGAGAAAAAGAGGGAGAGGGAGAGAGTAAGACAGAGAGAGAGAAAGAGAGACAGAAAGAGACTGAGGCTGTGTGTGCTAACTGTAAGAGGTTTATTTTTTCCCTGTTTTATAAGCTATCGCAGACGCAGCTGGGATGTTATTTCTGAGATGAGCAGGGTTATGTGAGGCACCATCCTTATTTCTTTCCCTTATCATAGTGAGCTCTGGTCTGTACCTGCAGAAGCCTCCAAAGCCCAGGAGGTGCTCCTGGTTCTTACTTCATTTCAGTTAAAGCCTCAGCCTTTTTCTGTCCACTCCCTGCTTGTGTCCCAAGAGAGGCCCTGGTAGTCTGAAATCAATGAAGCATCAGGACTGGGCTGCAAGTTTGTGCATTTGAGTTTGTTGAGATGTATCCACACACCTCCCAAACATTACTATCTCATTTCTCGCTTTTTTCTTAAAAAGATCCTCACAGATCATTTAAAAATTTAGCATTATTTAGCCAGTATTCATCTCTATGGCCTCTGTAAATTTTAGATCCTTTTCTTTCCTACCAACTAGGATGGACACCCACATAACCCAAGTTAAGGCCACAGAGAAGTTAACATTAATTTCAAATTACTACATACCAATTCGTATCTGTGTCGTACTGACATATCCACCCCTTTATCAACACGGATAACTTACAGTTGGCTGAGTGATGGTTAAAAATGGGAAATTAGCTCTTTAAATCACACCGTACCACTTCTTAAGGGGCATCTCAGATATCAGGCAAGCATGTGCTGTTCCTTCAGCTTGTGTTCCAGGGATCAACAGAGCCCCAAGCATATTATGAGCCTAAATCCCCAGGACCCTGTGGTTCCCAGCCTGAAGCAACAGAGTCAGGACCAAAGCAGGGAAAGGTGGCAGATCCCTCCACGCCATGGTGCCCCATCAATGAACGGACCAGGGGGAAGAAGAAATCTTGATGTGAATGTGTTGCAAGTCACTTTCGGCCTGACTCTCCCTCCTCAGATCACAGAACTTAGCTCACACTGGAGTGGCAGGATGCAGCCACTCCAGCCAGCCCAGCGTGCTAAGAGCCTCACGCCTCATCTCCCCACTTTAATCTCACCACACAGGCATTCACAGTCCATGCCAACCCAGGGGGGCTTCACACTCTTCCTCCAGCTCAAGGCTCCACAGCTTCCCTGCCCCCAAACTCAAGGTTCTGCAGCGTGTTTCCCCCCAGATTACCACCTCAAACCTCCTTAGTTTGCCCTCCCTTTAGGGCTCCACAGTCCACCTGCTCACACTCAGGAACCCAGAGCCTGAAAGTCCCATCTCAGGAAACCACAGCTTCCTACTTCCCTTCAGGGCTGTAAAGCCTCAAGTTCCCACAGCCTGTCCAGAATGTACATGTCCCTCTGGCCTTGACCAATGCTCCACATGGGAGAGACAAGCGATTCTGCACAATTTCTCTTCTAGGAGTGAGACAAGGAAAGGATAAAAATAAACCCTAAGCCTTCACATATAACAATTTCAAGTGGGTTGTGTTGCTCGGGTTAATTTCATAAGAAAGGAATGCAAGGAAAGAGGTGACATTCTAAACAATGTGTGTGCGCTCCACACAAAAAGTCTTTCAATGTGCTAAATTTATACATTCATTTGAATTCAGTTTGTTGATGATATATTTATGTAAAAACATGAAGAAAGTCTACCTATTAATACAAGATACTCATTGGTGCTTTTGAAAGGGATAGGAGACTTTTTCTCATATTCTCTACTGTAGACATACCGTCAGTTTGCAAAACTCTTCTATTAGATTTTGGCTTCAAGAGCATTTTAAAGTACTGACTTCCAGCTACTATTTCCTAAGCAACTTTTGGATTCTGATAGAATTAAATAATTTGTTTAGTCTGTCACAGTTTCAGGACACAAACTCTCAGTGGATAAAATATCAGCCCTGGGTTTGTTAAGTTGACTTCTAAATTTGGGAGGAACTTGTTTCCTTCTCATGCCTTTTTTTCTAACTGACCCATCTCCCTCTTTGGGTGCAGCATGTGCAAGCTTTACCTTTGTTTCAATCTGTTTGGTGTCCAGATTCTGAAACAGCAGCTTTACTCGAGTTTTTCCGTCATCTGAAGATCCCTTAAGCTGAGAGAACTTGAATCTCCAGAGCACGTTCTGCAGAGAAAATAAAGAAATGAGTGATTCATCAGCAGGATTATTTTCATGTAATTAATATCTAATAACATAAAGCACCTGTATGGGTAAACGCCAGTTGTTATGACATGTCCACCTTCTGTGTGTAGAGGCTGACCCCATGTCCAGACAGCTCAGGGTCACACACTAAGCCTCTAGTCTTCACCTTGCTCTCATCCTCCTGATCTTTCTGTACTACCCTGGACATTTTCTAAGACCAATTCTTCCTTTTTGCTTGCAGAACTATAAAGTCTACTGAAGGCAGGTCTCTTACCCAGTAAGATTCCCAATGCAGTGCGGTTAACATAGAATGCTTGGATCCTGGCTATATCATCCCACCATGACTACATGCTGTCAATCAGCCTCAGGGTCCCGAGAACCAACAGGACAGCATGGGCAGCAATGCCTTACGCCGCTGCTTCAAGTTTGCTTAGCACTTGCTGTCATGCTTCGGAGGCAAAATGTCATCTCCGCCCTCAGGAGGCTGAGCCAGGAGGATAACCACAAGTTTGAGGCTAGTCTGGTTCACATAGTGAGCTCCAAACCAGCAAGGGTTACACAGGGAGAACCCACCTCACAAAACAAGACAACACAATCCTTATCATCTAGGAAAACACCAACGGGAAGTAGCATTTAGCATCCTGTAGGCCAAGTTTTCTTTTAACACTTATTGTAAGTATTGAATAAAGAAAAACCAATTTCTAAATGATGAACAAAGCATTCAATGTCAGCCAGACAAGAAGGAAGGGAATAATGGAAAGTCTCAAAATGTATTTGTCCTTTCAGATGGCAAGCTGTGTGCCACACTGTCCACACTGGCCTCAGGATTCCTCGTGATATTTTCCAGACTGAATTGAGGACATGGACCAATGGAAAAGTCTTAAAGTTCATGTTTCTATATTTCAAGACAGTTGGAAGCAACAGTATCCTGAGAACTACCCATTTTATCCTTGCATTTCTGTGGTGCTGAGGCGGAGCCTCTGCCTATTCTGGTAAATCCAGGTACCATGGTGTTTTCAGAGCAGGAATTACCAGAGTCTGTTCGGATTGAGAACTTGAGAAACCTCACCCCAGTCACTATATAAGATTGTCAGTTTTATTTATCATGTAGCCCTTATTTGTGGGTGATGCAAGAAAACAACATTCTTCTACAGCTTCTGGTTTGGGATACATTACAAAAATAAAAATCCAGACCCACGTGGTGAATGGGGTAGTGAATAGGCCTATGGCCCCTTTTTGTTTTATGAGCCTCATGCCCTAAGCATGGAATTCCATAAGCACCTGTGGGTGGTTGACACTTACATAGCCAGTTATCTTCAATGACTAAGAGTTGTTTGTTTCAGATTTCTCATGTTTTCTCTCATGAACTCTAAATGTAATTTTATTAAGAAAACTAATTTTGAAAACCATAAATATTATTTCTGCCTGTGATCTTAAGTTCTAAACGCTGAGCCCTTCTTATATGTTGAGCCTCTGTACACAGAGGTATGCAAGCTGGGAAGTCAGATCCCAGCTTGGCTGCTTGGAGAGCATGACAGTAATGGTGCTCGCTTTAGTTAAAACATCAACAGATGAATTTGAAAGGGCATTGGGTTTCCCACTGGAGTAATAAAGGCTGAAGGGCATCTCAATACTCAGCTTTCAATCATGCAGCTGGAAGACATCTTTGTGCAGTTTAAGCATCTAAAACACAGGTCTCAAGTTACATGGCATATACATATTAAACATAAGACCTTCTACTTTGCTTTCATCATTAACAATGCATTCTGGGTAAGAGGCAGTCCATTTTGTCTAGCATTAAAGGACTGACATAAATTCTAATGTTTAATGTCCAAAGTTCAGATTGATTAGATAGTCTAATTTAATCAAAGTCAACCTCAGGAACAACTGAGGTTACCCCTCTGGCCTCCACATGCACAAGTGCACACAGACAGTCACCAGGGAGTCCAGTTCCCAAGGGCTCACCCCAGTCATGTAAAGCACTGAGAAAAAAGGGTGCTATTTAAAAACTGTTATCTTAAGTGAAAGATGCTAGATTCGATGGCACGAAGTATCCTCAGAGCCCCATTTGAGGCCTGCCTCAGAAATCAGAGACATTGCCTGGGGAAAAGGAGGGCAGGAAGCAGGCAGAGATTCAAAAGTGAAGAAGACGGCTGTGCATGACTTAGCTGATAATGTAACATCAATTATAGCTTCACACAAGTACACAACATCCCGGATAACCCAGCACCCACACTAGAGGGAAAGTTTGTCTACCATGTGATCAGCCCCCATACAAGAGCAAGGGGCTATGTAACCATGAGGCTAAACACACTGATTGTTGTCGGTGCAGACGAGCTCAGAACGTCCCACAGATCCTCACAGAAATAGGAAGGGAGCTGCAGAGTACTGGGCGCCTCCTTCCACATCACCAGGAACCAGGGTTCACATCAAGACCTTCCCTGGCAGTGTTGCCTAGTCCTGGCTGCAAGCCGGACAGTGGGTAGGCATGGTAATGTCCTCTGGTAGGGTCACAAAAGGTCTTCTGCAGAGTCCTGTGTGGACTGTGCTAACCCTGGCACTGACAGGAAGACTGGGTCATATGAGTAAACCAAGGAAGAGCACAAGGGAACATTAGTGGGATCTCCAGCAGGCCGCAGGACAGTGCTGTATTCTGCCATCCCTTGGTAAGGGCCTTCGCCAGGATCAATTCCAGGACATTGCCAAGTGGCTGAGAAGGCACACGGAGACTCCTACAGACTCTTGTGGAGACAGACCATGCAACCCCTGCCCTGAGGGTGGAATCCAGAAGGTCTCTTACTTGGTGTCCTGAAGTACAAGACTGTGTCTCATAGAGTAAGCAACAGAAACTACACAGAGTACTCTTCTTTTTTTCCCAGAGTAGGTGCTGTAACACCATACTCACCTCAAAAGGACATACAGAGCAAGAGTATTTAGGTCTGGCTTCTTGAGCATTTTAGTTGCAAGTACAGGTCCTGTGCCTGTGTAGGTGGTCAAGAACGGTACAATTTGAAGAACCCTTGACAGGGATTGGGAAGTCATTTACTCACTGACTCTGGATGGCCTTTGATGCTGGATGCAGAATTAAAATCCATTCTTGACATTAAATTTTTATGCAACTGCATTTTGCTATTGCTACAATCATTGCCTGAGTCAATACTGGGGAATATCATGATAATCTTCCTGGGAGGAAGTGGAGGGACAATGTTTTTAGTGCGATTTCAGGAGCCAGGACTGTATAGCAGAAGCAGATTCCATCTCTGTCTCAGGATTTCTCCACCTCTGCACAAAGATCACTTGGACATGACAATTCTGTATGGTGCTCTCTCCTGCTCATGGCAGGTTCTGAGCAGCACTTGGGGACTCCATCATGGACATTCTAGATGTGGCAGAAGGGCCCTTCCACATCCTGGAATTGAAAAGCCTTCTTCAGACATCTCCATGTGTCCCCTAGAGGGCAGACTTGTCCTGGATGAAATCTTTGTTTTGGCAGAAGGAACCGTCTCTGTTAAGTGCTTATCAACCGGTTGCAGAGAGTGGGCCACAGAAGAGAGCAGCCTGAGAGGCTTAGAAATGGCAGCTTGGGAATAACTATGAGAAAATGATTGCTGGTTATTAGGAGTGAGACTTTGCTTCTTCATTGTGGGCTCTGGGAACAGTGAAAGGCTGTAGCTGAGCCTGGACACTGTGTGTGGAAAGCAGGTTTCTGGAACTCTGATTATGGTTAGTGACGGTAACCATATTACAGTTAGTGAATTCATGTGTATGGATGAGCTCAAGCATGAGGCTCCAAAGACCAGACCAGGACAGCATCTCTCATGTCAAGTGGCACAACATCAAACTGAGCCTTCACACAGCAGGAAAATCCCCAACGGTCCAGATATTCCTAAATACAGATTGGCTGCTGCAACCCTGAGGGGACAATAAAGACATCTTTTCCTCTTTGCTCTGCAAGGGAAGCCACAGGAAGCAGTTCCCTGTGAGCCATGGGGTTCCACTGTGTGAGGCCCCTTGATCCTGCCCAAGCCCCCCACCCCATCCCCACCTCTCTTCTGTCCTGTGAGTCTGTTATGTGCTGCCATGCTCTGTCCTTGCTAACGAAATCCAGGGAGATCTCCAAACGAAATCTACTGGCGTCCTCTCTTCACAGGAGCATTCATCGTAGGCATACTTTCTCAATCTGCACTCATTATTAATTAGCAAAGCAGATTTTTATAAATATTTTGTGATAAAACATGGGCTCATCACTTTGGCAAACATTTTCTTATCAGGAGAGCCCTCAGATGGTGATGGAAGTGATCCAGCGATTTTCCTACTCACACAAGTGGCTTTAATCAATGAGGCTGGAATCGAGGGCAGCTTTCCATTCATGGATACATTCTACCAACTTGTGGAGCATACTCTCACCAAAAACACTCAGGTTTTAAGCAACGGTTGGGATTCTTTTCACTGTGTTTTAGTGTTGTGGGTTTTTTTTCCTTCAGAGGGATCAAGAAAACCCATTCTGTGCTTCCCTCTCTCTCCTTCCCTCTCTCTCTCCTCCCCCCCCCCTCTCTGTGTGTGAATCATAGTTACCAAACAGAATTTTGCTGGAGTTTTCCTGGGTGGGCTCTAGGGACTGCAAACACCCAGGGACCCCAAACTATCGAGATGGAAGGCAGGTTATAGAGGGGGACCTTTGGCTCAGTGCACAGCCGGTGAGAACTTTCTACTGTCAGACTTCTCTGAGTAAGTGCAATGTAACATGTAGAGCGTCTGCAGGAGTTCCTTGCATCTTACCTTTGTTTTACCGTCAAAGCAGGTGAATCCCAGAGCAAAATCCACAGTGAAGCACAGCATTTCTCCTTGCCAGCTGCACAGATATGTTTTTGACTAGAAAAGAATATTATCAATTTTGAGTAAGTGCTCAACAATACTGCTGGATAACTATAGGAAGATAGTTGACACATTAGCTACTTTAGCCAAAGCACACTGTTTTAAGTCTGAACACATAAATTACATAAAATAAATGAGAAGGATTGGGGGTTGCAGGGAATTGCAGGAACACCTACAGCCCTGAGATCTTTCCTGCTTTTTGTTTTTAGACAGATGAAGATGTCTTTAAAGGCAGCAACTAAATAAAACCAAATCATTAAAACAGTTCAACAGATAGTCTGTTCTCCACTCACTGGAGTATATATAGATGCTTTAAATATCTCACAGTAGTCTAGGGTATATAAAGAACATATAAAAACAAACAGTTTTAAAATTGGCAAAGTTGTTATTGTCAACTTGAGTAATCAGTTTCCAGTCGAGTTACCCCAGGCAACAGAAGATCTGAAGCCATCATTGTAATGGGATGAAGGTCTTGCTTAAGGATGACGATGGGGTTAGGACTTGATTTTCTGGCTCTCTGACACATGTGTGTGCATATGTGTATGCTTGGGCACACATGCACACACACTCACATGTCCAACACAGGGAAGGCAGGAGGAGCTCATCTCACATTCCCATTGATTCTTAGCACTATACACAGGGTGTCCTGGACACTGGGCCTACCATTTATCTTTTGATGTACTATATTCTTTTCCTATGAACTAGAAAAGTGCCCTGAATATCACTGGAATATCCCTGCTGTGACTGTCACCACATCTTGACTCCATTCTCTCCTTTACGTGTCATAGGAAGACGAAGTGAGGACCCCATTCGACATGACTTGACTTTTCCTTTTTCTCAGCCTTCAGTCAGCTTCCTACCTTTGTCAGGTGTCCATAGCTCCTCACCAAAATCGTGCACAAAGCCTGTGCCCACTGCATACTATGCAGACTACTAGAGTTTTGGTACTGGTGGGTATTGGAAGCTCCAGCTATGTCCCCAGCTGTTCCTCTAACTCACCTTTTCTAACTTGACCCAGACCATGAGAAGTGCTGACGTTCCTTTTAACAAGTCCATGACAATTTATGTTCTCGTACTTTAGGACTTGCTAAATTTCTAGAATTTAAGTGTACTGATTATAAACTATGAAAGAAAACATTTCTAGGAGATCATTGTATTCTTGTAGCCTAGATCTCTGACATCTGTGAACCCCAGTGGATAGTGGAGGGCAGGAGAGCACTGTTGCAGAATTTTACACATTCATGTGCTTAGCCAGCCCCTGAGAAGCTCAGGTAGACTGGGGAAAGGAGTAGAAAGTTTGTGGAGGGGCTCAGCTCTGCAGAAAATCGTCGCAGATTCAGCCAGAGGCTGCCAAACACACAGCCTCTTCCCATTCAACTCTTGAGAATCTGGCATGGTGTGTGTGTGTGTGTGTGTGTGTGTGTGTGTGTGTGTGTGTGTGTGATTAGTATCCCAATTGTGTTGTATGTTTATTCTATTTACTTTCTCTTTTCCTTAATATGTTGGAAAAAAGAACTCAAGTTGACACCTGTTTCCCAGTTCTCTGAGAAGAGTTTTGCCTCCCGGTTCATTCAGTTGGACAAGGGTGTCAGAGGAGTGGTCTTAAGCATGACCTCTTTAAAGGCACCCTTGTGGACTGCTTACATTTTAAAAGTAAAATCAGCAATTTAAATATTTCAAGGTAACTGATGGGGTGAATTTTCATGACATGTATTTTCAATACTCAAGATATGGAGGCTATAAGGATGACTTCCTTAATCACTTTAGGTCTACAGGTAAAAGCATGGATAAAAGTTACACATAGAACACCAGCTGCCGGGCAGAGGAGTACAATGTGTCTTTTCTTAAGGGACTCTATCTAAAGCATGTCAAACAATGACCCACAAAACAATACTTAGTGGTTGACCATGACATTGGACACCTAATAAGCCTTTGTGAATATTTTACTGTGGTTGGAAGAGAAATACTAAATGCCCACAAGTTTCCAGAGTACTTTAGAGCATATTATATGAAAATGTCAGAGAGGCCTTAATAATAACCCAAAAATACATGGTTGTGAAGGTCAGCTTCAGAACAAAAGCAAAGGCAACAAAAAAGAGAGCAATAAATGTTTAAGAAAAATATCAAAAACCTCCAGCACAGAATCACCAGGGGAGTTAAAAACAAAACAAAAGAACAGCACACACACACACACACACACACACACACACACACACACACACACACACACACACACACACACACACACACACCCCAAGACAAAACCAAACAAGAATTCTGGTGATCATAAAACACCTTTTCAACTTTGTTCTGCATAAAGAGTCTTGTTGCCTAGAGATGGTGCAGAATCAACCCCAGAGCAATCACTCATGTCCAAGAAGAAATTATGTTAAAAGAATGAACAGTCAGTTGGCTTTAGTGCTGTTTGCCTGTAATGTCAGCTTCCAGGAGGCTGACACAGAAAGACGGGTAGTATGGGCTAGCCTGGCCTACATAATCAGACTTTGTGATGATGATGATGAAGATGGTGATGATGATGATAAAGACATCAATACAAGCAACTTGCAAAGGTTCTGGACTCCAACACAGAAAAGTAAGGAGCAGGTCTGATCACAACCACCTTGCAGAATTTGTTTGCCTTTCTCTTTTTCGTTCGTTCTCCTCTTAATTATGAGGGAATGTTTCAGTTCTCATGAGTACTCTCTCTCTCTCTCTCTCTCTCTCTCTCTCTCTGTGTGTGTGTGTGTGCGTGCGTGCGTGCGTGCGTGCGTGCGTGTATATCTGTCTCTCTCCCTTTCCCTCCTTCCTTCACTCTCCTCTTGACTATGAGGGAGTGGTCTCCCTCCCTCCCTCCCCCTCTCTCTCTGTGTATCTGTCTATCTGTCTGTCTGTCTCCCTTTTCCTCCCTCCCTCCCTGCCTCCCTCCCTCCCTCCCTCCTTCCCTCCCTCCCTCCCTTCCTTCCTTCCTTCTCCTCTTGATTATGGGAGAATATTTCAATTTTTCTAAGTATTTGGTAGAAATGTTCACTGGAGGCGTCTGGTCCAAATACTCTTTCTTGGGGAAGACAATATGCTTCACCTTGATGGAGATCCCCTTGATTTTGTCATCTACTCTGTGTATGCAGAGTTCCATCATGGTCTTTTTCTTTCCTGGTTCTGGCAATTTGTGTCCTTTTCTCTTTCTTTCTTGTGAGTCTGTCTCCAGGCTTGTCAAAGTAAACAATATTTACAGAGAGCCAGCTTTGTGATTTGCCTTAATGCTTCTCTGACACATTGATGATTTGGAAATTGTTGTCTTGAAGTATTTAAGTACATTCCTGTTATCTTTCAGTTATTAATTACTGTTTCCAATTTGGTTGGAAGAACATGCTTTGAATTGCTTCGGTTCTTATCAGTTTGCTGTGGTTGTTTCATAGTCTTGGTATGGTTTATTTTGGCCTATGCCCCACAATCCTTCAAGACAACCTTCTGTAAGCTACTGTTGAGTGGGGAGCTCCATAAATGCTTCTTGTGCATTGCTGTTGGCTTGTTTCCCTCAGCTCCATCAGTTTTTACCTCATATATTTTGCAGTTCTGTATCTGGTAAACACGCATGCGTTGGACAAGTCTCCTTGGTCAGGGGCTTGCTTGCTCATCCTCCCACAATTCCTTCTGCTATAGCATTCTCTGCTCTGAAGTCTACTTGATTTGGCAGCAGCCACCCTTGCTTTCCTTTGACCTGAGCCTCATGGTGTAGCTTCTTCTGTCTTTTCACTTCCAACTGGGTGGTGATATTTGAGGTAGCCTTTCTGTAGACTTAGTATGGTTGGGTTGGTACTTGCATTTGTGTAACTCAGTTTCGAGTGGTATACTCACACAGCTCCCAACTGATGGGGTTTGTGATGTCATTATCTTCTTTCTATCTTCTTCCTTTCTGCTTAGTGTTGCATTGTGTGTGTGTGGGGGGGTGTTAGCATTTTGCTTTTATTTGTCTGATGGGTTTTGAGTTTTGCTGTGACTCTGCTCACTCCAGAGATTTCCAGAAGTCGCTCTGGCTTCCACATGGCTTCTCCTCCTCATGGCCACCCACTTGGTTTAACATTTTCTTCATGTGCATCAGGACTCACACTGCATAGTGGTATGGGTTTTGCTTCAGCCATGAAATGTGGCAATCTCTACTCCCTCCCCCCTTTCCAGACATTTCTGGGTTCCTGCTTTTGTCATTTACTTTCTGTTTAGAGAAAGTCCCCATCTATTCCTTTTAGGTATGTCTGCCAAAAACCATTTATCTTAATTCCCCTTAATTATGAAAGGGCTTAAAAGACATTTTTCATTCTTGAAAGCTGTTTTCAATGGCTATGGGGTTCTGTGAGGCAACGCTTCTGTCTGGCACTTAATACTGGAATCCTTCATTCTCCATCATTCTACATGAGAAATTTCATGTAATCTGGATTATTTTGCTCTGTAATCTCCTATGACTCCTTTCTGACTGATTTCAAGATATTTTCATTTTTATTTGGATTTCTGAACTTTAATCCTGGCAAGTCTTGGTATGGGCTTCCTAGAGTGTGTCTGTTTGGACTCTACTCATTTCTCAGATGCACAGACTTCTAGCTTTGAAAGTTTGAGCCATAATTTCTTCAACTATACTTGTCTTCCCTCCTCTCTCCTCCCAGGCCTCCAGTCACAGGCACTACACTTCAATCCGTGTCTTGAGCCTACAGTTCCTCCAGTCTGTGTTCTCTCTGTTATTCACAGAGATAGCTTTTGTTGGCACGTGTATGGCCACAGCCACCCCCTTTGCTCTCATTTTACCTCCATGGCTGGACTTTTAATTCAGTCATAATAGTTCGCATTTTCTTTATTTCTATCCTCTGTTGTGTTAGCTCTCTTTGTGCTTATGATATTTCGGTTCGTCAGAATATATTCATACTTGCTTTTTGAAGCATGTATTTTAAAACCACAGCTGCCCTCGGATCTTTCCCAAGTAAGTTTAACATTTCTGAATTTCAATGCTG